ATACTCCTCAAATTAAGCTCCAAAGTAGGCTTCACAAAATAGTTTCCAGACCTAACCATTTTCTGGCAGTTTTCCAGTTTTGAGGTAGCAACTTTGAGGCATTGGAAAACAACCTTAATGACATCTTCTGGATCCACAAAGCATACCATTGGAAAGATGGTAACTTTATCTGCAAAAGAAACCCTTAAAAAATGAATTTCCACCAAGCCAATTGAGAGAACCATGCCTCCAAAGTATGTACCTTAACCACGGGTTTTGATTTAGCCAAATTCTGCCTTTTTTCATCCCAACTTCGATAGCTTCTTTGTCAAGTAATTGTGACGTGTATTGTTGGCCAATTGGGATCATATCATATGGTATGTTGGGAATCATTTTTTGCATGTAAGATAGTTTGGGATTTCTTCCTAGCCGCTACTGTTCTGAAACAACTTGAAATTGCAGGAGGAGGAAAGGAAATAAGGAGAAGTGGGGGCAACAAGAGCAGCTAAAGCGGTGACACAGTGGCCAGCGGAGAGAAGCAGTAAGCAAAGGGATGGATATTGGAGGTATTCTTAGGTACGCCGGGAGTATCACGTCGAATGAGTGATTTGGTACTCCCAACGAATTAGAGGTTGCCACGTGTCCGCATATATAATTTAATAATCAATTAATTCATGAGTGTGAAAAATAAATTGTCTCTTCGGCTACCGGTAGTGGGATACTGCTAGTGGTGGAAATCGGTACGGTATCGGTATCCCAATATCGAATACCAAAATCCCGAATTTTGAATTACATCCTAAAATCTCCCAATCCCTAAATAATTTCGCCCAATCTCAATCGCTAAATATTTCGGTATCCCAATCGGTATTCTGGTATCCCAATCGGTATTATCAAATACGAAATTAGTTAAATTTACAATTAATAATTAAATATATAAATTAAATTTGATTCTTTAATTTAGAACAAAGAGACTAACCAAGGAGTTGGAGTTTGCCTAGAGCTAGGACATTTGATTGTTTAATATTCGCTGCTTCCCATACAACTTGCCGATCGGAATTTGGAGAGAAAACTGAAGCTACATGGGCAGCAATAATTTCTCCATTTCTTGACCTGCTTTTGGTGGTTGTCGCCTGCTTGCTCTTGGTCGAATTGATTCGCAATTGTGAATTGAGAGAGGCTAATTGGGAGAAGATATTGACGGAGATTTTTTATAGTGGAATGAGAGTAGGTGTGGCATGTGGATTGGCTACTAGCTGTCCTGTACCAGTTGTATGAATTTTCAAAGTCTTAAAGAGTATCGTTAGGCTTTGTATTATTGAATGAGTCATTAAAATTTGGTAATGGGTTAAGCATATCGGTTGGCAATTAAGGGCCAGTAAAAATTGTGTGAGGATTGAGGAGAGATTAGTTTAAAGGTTAAAATGCAACACTCTTTTATATTATTTTTCGGTATTGTTCGGTATTTCGGTATATACCGATCTCAATCTCATAATTCCTAATACCGAATTACACTTGAAATTCAATCACAATCCCATGAAAAAATTCGTGTCTTCGGTAATACCAAATATTGACAAATTCGATATGGTATTCGGTATATACCAAATACCGATACCAAACTTACGCCCCATATCCGCATTCCTACCTTCTCTATCCATCAAAAGTTTTTTTTTTTTTTTTTTTTTTTGCCAAACCGCCATCGCCAAATAATACTTCAACCGGCACAGGAATTTCATCGCCATCATCCTCTCCATGTCGGATCCGAAAGGAGAAGAAATGTTTTTGCCAAGCCGTCATCGCTGGAATACTTCCATTTGCACTGGAATTTCATTGCAATAGTCCTCACAACGCCGAATCTAAAAGAAGAAGAACAACAAGAAAAAAATATTCGCAGGCCATCAAGATTGCTAATCAGCGCCGCTAGCTATTAATAGACTCATTTGCTCAGATTTCCAAGGGAAGAAAATGGTTAAAGTGTGGCTGGAATTTAGGTATCAGAAACCTCCGGTTAGAAGTCTGCCTCGTCTGTGTTGAAACAAGCCGCCAGAATTTTCTTCACAGCAGCTGATACAGAGCATCGAAAATGGTGTTTGGTTTGAACCGAAAGACTGAAGGGATTCAAATTTAGTTTATTTATTTAATCAGACTTTTATTTGGTTATTATGTATTAATATATAAAAGCCTTGGTTACAATCACTGTTCATTAGTGGCTCCCACTCTCTCCTCTGCGACTGGCCTTCTTCCACTCGGTTTCCCTTCATTCGCCCACGTCGCCCACTGCTTCTCTCACACAAGAATCTCCCAATCCCTATTACCCCACTCGCCAGAGAAAAAACCTTGGTCCTTTGCTTTACCCGCCGGATCTTTATTTCCCTGACGGCCACTCGCACGATTGACCTCGCCTGCCATGCTTTCGCTCTCCTCTTCTGCTTCTTCCTGTCTCCTCCACACCCAGAACACGCTACCTTGCCATCTCCTTCTCCTCCGTTCCGCACGCTAGCTGCTCCTCTTCCTTCTCTTTCTTTCCTCCGCTGCAAACACCCAAACATTTTCCCCTTCTCACCGGAATCCCAAAACTCTAGACGGAATCTAGGTTTGCTGCGCTCTGTCCTACCGAATCCCTGAACTCCCACGAAATCGCCGCCTTGCCGCCCTATCGACTGTGTCCACACCCGCGGCCGTTGGCATCTGCCGCTGGAGTTTCACCTTGCTGCATCTGGTACGTTCCTTCCCCTAATCCCGCCGTTAACTCCTGGATTTCCTCTCTACTAATGTACAATCGACTCATCTAGCTCCTCCTTCTCTTTCCTTCCTCCACTGCAACACACCCAGGATCTCCCCCTTCTTACCAAACACTTTCGACGGAATTCCATATCTGCTGCGCTCTTTGCTGTCGACGCCACAAGCTTCCTCGAAATGGCCATCGGTCGCCACCATCTACGACCGCCGCTAGAGATTACCCTTGCTGCATCTGGTATGCTTCTTGCCGTAATCGCATTGTTATGTTCTTAATTATCTCCCTGATTGGCAATTGACTCAACATTGTCCCGCCACTCCCACTGATTGCAAAGTCATCAGTCCATGAGGTTTCTATTGGAATGGTTCAAATGGTCTTTGTTTGTGGGTAATTATGCTCAAGCCAATAGGTTCCACGCAAGGCACAGTGGTGCTTTGTTAAACAAAAACGTCATTTCTTATCAATATTGAGTTGTTGAATGGTGTTTAGTTGTGTTGTCTCTTCTGACGATACATTGTTGCTCTGCACATCAGCAGGAAACATGGGGCAAAGCTGCTTGGAGATGACCCTCAACTTTAAGTAGAGAAATCTGGAGGCTAGATCCATGATTTTGCTCAGCTGTAAGCATTCTTCCCATCGCAAAACATAAGGGTGAAGTTTCTCTGCATGATTTTGTTGATTGATATTTGTTATCATCGTCAGCAAGAGTGTTGTGGAGAGACCTTAATACTGAGCTACGTTAGGTTCATTTACCTTTAAAAAAATTAGCTTTTGCAGGTAAAAAGAATCATGCCATTTGTAACCAGTATTAAGAATTTCTCATCATGAACTTCAGAGACAGCAGATGCTGATTCAACAACTGCATGTCCAGATATAGAGTAAGCTTTATGCAAATTAACGATTCAACAACATTTGGTTCTTTGGTGAATGATGTAACAAGTAATATGGTCCCTTGGTGAATCTATAGATTAAGGTTTAGGCAAATTATGTCATCAGCTGATCTGCCCTTTGTATTTTCCATTTTGGTTTGCTATTACAATGATCTAGCTTGAACTGACTTTTCATTTTCAGCATTAAGGGTGAAGGGTTAGATATGTTAGAGGTTTAGTGCTTTTGGAATGAAGGAAATCAAATGTGTTGCTTCTTCGAAAGCCACAGTGGTTCTGTAAACAAAATGTCTATCTTATGTTAACACAATATTCTCTCTTTGAAATCCCCAAAGGGACCAGCTGAGATGTGTATTGATTGCCATTTGATGATTCAAGTGATTATAGGATTTCATTTTGCATAATAGCTTTTGTTAATGTTCGATCTGTTCTTCTCCCCATTAACTCATTGTCTTCTTGCTGAATCTTAAGCAGAGGTGGTCAGTTGGATTGCATCTCTGACCCTATTGGATGTCTGCTGTTCTGTGATGCCCCAAAAATGTAACAGACCGGAGATCTCAAAGATTATGGTAATTTTTAGCCTTTTCTTCTCAAGGATTATCTTTCACAAGTTTTACAAAATTTCCCTTCCGGTATACTAATTGTCAAATCAAAATCATCGTTTCAAAAAACTACACTGAAGTTCTTCGAACTTTAGATCCGCTGGAACTTCATGTCATGCCTCCTGTTATTGTGCCATTTGGTTGTTCGGCTCTCAAAAGCTTAATTTATACTTGACTTCTTTTAACTGCGCTTCACGTTACCTTTAATGTTCCAACATCTTCCCTGACTTCTTTGTTCATTTGCAGAAAAAGTTACTCCTCCAAATTCCTCCATGACTGCATCTCCGTTCTCATGTGGTTCCCCGCGCTTCTGCTCTTGCTTACCAGTATGTATTTCCTTTGCTATCTCAATTTCTTAACTTCCTCTTGCTAACCACGCACTCCATTGGTGCCTTCTTCTCTTTCGGATATTAAACTAAAAAAAAACTCGAACTATTTTTCTGGGTTGCCTTACCTAACCTGCCTTAGAACGTTATTTAAGTTAGGTTGCTTAAGAACAACTCTTACAACTTCATAATGAGTTTAGTTGAGTTCTAAGCAATATATTAACCGTTAAATGGATGGGTATGAGCCTAGGTTTTGAGTTACATTTTAGTATTTCAGCACATCTATACGATTCAATTCCCTGTCAGTCTCAGAGTAGGGCCCTGATTCAGTGGGTGAATACTATTCCTCCTATTATTGGATTGCTTTGCTTTACAGTCTGCATCAATTTATGATTCATTGATATGAATGTTTAATCACTTTGCTATGGATGTCCTCGCCCGTCTTATCGGTCGTTTTTTAGTGTCTTCGATCGCTGAAACAATAGCAGGGTCCAGGAACTCTTAAACCAGCCACTGCTGCAATTTATCACTTCCCACCCCAGGTTTAACGTTTGATAATACGTCCATTTCTTTGCCATAACTTGAAAAATTCTACTGAATTGTAATTTCCAAGATAAGACCCTCACATCGTATTATTTCTTTTATTAATGTTCCTTATCTTAATGTTGATTGTTAATATGAGACATTTTATCTTTTGTCTTTGAAAATACATTTACCGTGAAATGGAAACTTGCAAGGTATAGCTTGCTTTCAAACAACCTCAACAAAACAACCCTCCCTTAAGTTGCAGGTCAACCATGAGTATAGTTGCAATGAGATATCCAGAGTTTTGATTCTGCAACTGTTTTACTTTTTTCTTCTTCTGTAGCTAGGAAATGTCGGTTCTGCCTGTAAGAACATGGAAATTTCACAAATCCCATAAGCTAAGAAGGTACACGTACACATACTGCATTGTTGTTGCCACATCAAACATATAAACAACTATCAATGTGATAAGCTACTATTGACAACTAAACTCTCCCTAAACACTTTCTACAGCTCAGTGTACGTGGCTGATGAAACATTGCAGGTTACATTCCTCAGTAGTCATGCAGTAGCGGCTGTATTGCTTCATACAAGTCCTTGGCGTGACCTTCTACATTTGAAGTGGAAAAAACTTACCCAAAGGACGAGGCAGCAGTTATGCTGCCAATATCTACAGACATCCACATTGTAATTAAACCCAGTGGCCTGTTCGGCTTTTTTTCTGTTATGAAATCCATGTAAGCCGCCTACTCTGGTTTTTAAGAAAGCAATCCTGCCATCACAGACTGCTCTAGGTATCCTCTATTAACTGATTGGTAGCATCTCATTCGACCAAGTGCTCTTCAGTTTGCTTTCACTTTTGCATTATCATTCGTGCTTTACTTAAATGTGTCTCTCCTACATATCATTCTACCATTCGTGCTTCAATACAACAATTTGGAGTTGGAACCCATTGCTTGGGTGTCGGTTCTATCACCAAATATGCAGCAGAAGCAACAAATATTATTTTACTTGAGATATCTGATTCATTCTCCTCTCTTTTGTTTATTTATGTTTGCTTTCATTGTCGGCCAGGTTATTGAGAAATAAATCTAAAATTGGGACCTTGCTGGTTGTGATTAGTTCTCTCCATACTGAACTATGTTTGGTTCATTTATCTTAAAGAACTGTAATTTTTCAGGTAAAAGATTTATGGCATTTGTGACCTACATCAAGAACTTCCCATCATAAGCTTTGGAGAAAGGGTGATATTGATTCAACAATAGAAAATATTTGCCATCGAAGTAGCCCCAACCAGGGTTATGCAATCTTGATTTGATTGTTCTGTTTTCAGGTGAAGTGCACCACTGGAGCTCAGAGTTCTCATTGTGTTATGAACACAGCTGATGCACTTTGTGATCTCCTACCAGTACCATTTGCTATCAAATTTTTGAACTAGGAGAGGTTGTCTAAAGAAAGCTGCCCTATGTTATGCATGTGCATTGATTTTATTCCAGTTTTATGCTCTGCATCTGCAGTGAGTCCCAAACTAATGATCACTACTCCAACCTCAGGTATTGCATCCCTTTCTCGGGTCTCGGTGAAATCCGGGATTCAGAAATATGATCCCTTGCTTCCAGTCCCTCTCCATCTCGCCTGCCAAATCCCAGGTAACATACCTTACAGGTTCAATTCATTACTACCTGGTTGAAACTATTAAGTTTGTATGTTCTATCCTTTAATAATGCTGTTCAGTTTTGTCTGTTGATATTCCCTCATTTTCCATGGTTTAAGGTAATGTTTATTGTTTTCAATCTCATTGTTACTGTAAGAATCCAGTGGCATGTCCTTAGATGTAGTGTTTTGCTAATTTCCCTGCTTCGGACTAGGGTACTTTATCTGCTACTCTGTTCTTTTGTGGTTTTCTCATGTTCTGCCTTTAGCTTTGTGGTTCAGGTGGTATGATGTTAAACATTGTTGGGGATGCATTTTATTGGTTTAACTTAGTTTGATTTTGTTGGCTCGGGAGGTAGTGATGAACTGTAACTGATTAATACTAGGGAGAGACCAATTCAATGCAATTGTTTCCAAATGGTGAGTTCTCTTAACCATTGTTTCTGTCTTTATAAACGTCAAATATACGTTAAAAGGGTGTGTTCTTCTGAATTCTTTGTTGCTACACTTTTTAGATACTTGACGGTTTTTGTTTAGTCTTCACCTGCTATCCAATCTGATTGCTGATCTTAAATAGAGATGTAGGTCTGAAATATGTTGAGTTTGTAGCGTTTTGTGATGTGGATGCTTGGAGCGTAAGTTTAATGCGTAATATGCTTTGTTCAACTCTTTCGAAGGTTGGTCAAGCCTGAATGCATATGTATTGATGAGATTTGCGTCTATTTGCAGACACTCCTGCATGGCATCACCCACAACACCTATCCATGTGAGGTCAAGAACATGCCCTGATTGGCAATTGACTCAACATTGTCCCGCCACTCCCACTGATTGCAAAGTCATCAGTCCATGAGGTTTCTATTGGAATGGTTCAAATGGTCTTTGTTTGTGGGTAATTATGCTCAAGCCAATAGGTTCCACGCAAGGCACAGTGGTGCTTTGTTAAACAAAAACGTCATTTCTTATCAATATTGAGTTGTTGAATGGTGTTTAGTTGTGTTGTCTCTTCTGACGATACATTGTTGCTCTGCACATCAGCAGGAAACATGGGGCAAAGCTGCTTGGAGATGACCCTCAACTTTAAGTAGAGAAATCTGGAGGCTAGATCCATGATTTTGCTCAGCTGTAAGCATTCTTCCCATCGCAAAACATAAGGGTGAAGTTTCTCTGCATGATTTTGTTGATTGATATTTGTTATCATCGTCAGCAAGAGTGTTGTGGAGAGACCTTAATACTGAGCTACGTTAGGTTCATTTACCTTTAAAAAATTTTAGCTTTTGCAGGTAAAAAGAATCATGCCATTTGTAACCAGTATTAAGAATTTCTCATCATGAACTTCAGAGACAGCAGATGCTGATTCAACAACTGCATGTCCAGATATAGAGTAAGCTTTATGCAAATTAACGATTCAACAACATTTGGTTCTTTGGTGAATGATGTAACAAGTAATATGGTCCCTTGGTGAATCTATAGATTAAGGTTTAGGCAAATTATGTCATCAGCTGATCTGCCCTTTGTATTTTCCATTTTGGTTTGCTATTACAATGATCTAGCTTGAACTGACTTTTCATTTTCAGCATTAAGGGTGAAGGGTTAGATATGTTAGAGGTTTAGTGCTTTTGGAATGAAGGAAATCGAATGTGTTGCTTCTTCGAAAGCCACAGTGGTTCTGTAAACAAAATGTCTATCTTATGTTAACACAATATTCTCTCTTTGAAATCCCCAAAGGGACCAGCTGAGATGTGTATTGATTGCCATTTGATGATTCAAGTGATTATAGGATTTCATTTTGCATAATAGCTTTTGTTAATGTTCGATCTGTTCTTCTCCCCATTAACTCATTGTCTTCTTGCTGAATCTTAAGCAGAGGTGGTCAGTTGGATTGCATCTCTGACCCTATTGGATGTCTGCTGTTCTGTGATGCCCCAAAAATGTAACAGACCGGAGATCTCAAAGATTATGGTAATTTTTAGCCTTTTCTTCTCAAGGATTATCTTTCACAAGTTTTACAAAATTTCCCTTCCGGTATACTAATTGTCAAATCAAAATCATCGTTTCAAAAAACTACACTGAAGTTCTTCGAACTTTAGATCCGCTGGAACTTCATGTCATGCCTCCTGTTATTGTGCCATTTGGTTGTTCGGCTCTCAAAAGCTTAATTTATACTTGACTTCTTTTAACTGCGCTTCACGTTACCTTTAATGTTCCAACATCTTCCCTGACTTCTTTGTTCATTTGCAGAAAAAGTTACTCCTCCAAATTCCTCCATGACTGCATCTCCGTTCTCATGTGGTTCCCCGCGCTTCTGCTCTTGCTTACCAGTATGTATTTCCTTTGCTATCTCAATTTCTTAACTTCCTCTTGCTAACCACGCCATAAAAGATGGAAGGAAAGACGAACTACTCGTTTACCTTCCAGTACGTCATTTCCACTAGGACAGATATAGGTATTGCCTAGCTCGCTCCCTCCCTATAGCTTGCTGAAGTCGCTTCACAAACCACTCGTTTACCTTCCAGTACGTCATTTCCACTAGGACAGATACAGGCATTGCCCTAACGTCCTTGTAGACTCCATTTATGCTCTCGCCATGGTTGGTAGTTGCAATGCCGAATCTAGCCCCGTTGTCCATGTGGAATGTCCACATGTGCAGATCTTGACCTTCTGCCCAAACTGCACCAGCCCGGTGTATCTGACGGACCCGCCTTCATCTTCTGCTCGTATTTCTATGGTTGATGTGCAACCGCTTCAAGACCACAGAATAAATAATTAAGACATGATAAATTTCATATGAAAGTAAACCATGAACAAGCACATAATTACATTTGTTCCTGCACTCCACAATTGATCTCTTATGTCTTTCTTCTTCCCAAACTTGTGCTGGAAATTTGCAAGAAACTGTCGAATACACCAGCGCCATGTCCACCCCCATTCGTCGGGAAAACCATTCACGGCATGCTTAATCCCGGCATGTCGATCAGATATAATTGTAATACCCATTCTTTGTGTGACGTGTTGGTGTATCATGTCAAAGAACCATGCCCAACTTAAGTTGTTCTCCCCTTCAACTAATGCAAACGCCAGTGGCAATGAGAAGAGTTCCTTTATACTTCCCAGTAAGGAATGTTCCATCAACCTGTTAAAATTATCTATAGTTAGTATAAATATTACTTAGTTAAAATTATCACTTGATCCTCAGTGTATACATTGTTGTAACAGGGCACGAAAATAGTCCCGGGGTTGGACTCCTCCATTGCGGCCATTAACCTAGGGAGTTAAGCATACGAGTCGTCCCAATCACCATATACCTCAGCCATGGCCTTCTGCTTCCCATGCCACGCCTTCTTGTACTTAATCGTGTAGGAGTGTCGATCCTTCACCCCGGCCATGATAGCTTTGATTTTAATATCTGGTTGTGCCTCGATCAAGTGCTTAATGGTTCTTGCCACTTTCTTTGCTTTCAGTTGCCTGTGATCCTGGGACAGTATGTTTGAGGAGCAGCTGTGGTTGTTCTCTGCTGTCCGAATGACCCAGGCACCCTTTCTCTTCATATTTGCAGCCCGCAGTAGCCACAAACAACCCTCTCCGGCATTTTTGCAAATGACATGTAGTTGTTTGGTGTCAGAATATTTTACCTTCCATTCGAAATTACGTCGCATGGCTTCTTCGATAAAAGCATCTTGAACATCGACTTTCGAAGTGAACGCCATACCCACCTCCAAATTGGTAGTCGGATTATACACAGGCATAGGCCGAAAATCAGGGGGATCGTTCTGACTATATAAAAATTGAGATGGAACCTCTGTGTAGTAAGGCGTTGGTGCCTCACGGAACGCCACCTTGCTCTCCTCGATATCGTCCGTATCTTCATCCTCACTGACTGATATCAAATCTTCCTCACTTTCCTCGTCCCTGGAGGCGAATGGATAGCTCGGCTTAGGAGGATCATCGTTACCAACATAACCAACCTCATCTTCTCGGTCATGTGAAGTACGCGCTGTTCGAAGGTGGTTCTCAATGTTAGCTCACTCTGGCCCCCAAGCAGGCCATTGATCACCGTCAGGCTCAACGAATGGGGCAGTCTCAGCATTTTGCAGGTATTGTTCCCACCCAACACCTCCTGCATAATTACCTCCTCCGTAGTTGCTTGGACCTCCACCCCAGTCGTAGCCTCCAACAGAACTACCTCCTCCAATGTTGCTTGAACTACCACCCCAGCCGAACCCTCTTGCAAAACCATCATCACAAGAATATTGGTGAAAATGAGTTTCACCGACCGGCTCGGTCTCGACATACACTTCTGCAAGCCGCATCCCGTTGTCAGATAGGAACTGTATCATCATGTTCACCGCATCATCATCATTTATGACAACTTCTTCGTACATAACTCCGCCAGCACTCATGTTTGGATACCGGTAAGTAATTTGACCAACTCTCCTTTGCCCGTCCATACAAGTCCTTTATGCACAAATGTCACGTAGTTCTTGCCACGTGAATCTCGACTCAATTTTTAGCATAGTGGATTCGCCATTTTCATAGTCGATCCCAAAGTCCGAGTTTGTCACCCGACCATTCCACCGAATAATAAGCTGAAACTTCTTAAATTTACCCATGTCTGCAAATTACAATAAGTAACTATTAGCTTAACTAGAATAAGATTACTATAGTATAGTTAGTACATTAGGGATACAAAAATAATATCATCCCAACCCATTAACAACCGCAACTAACTGATCTATCATGAGAAAACTCTCCAAATTCATCTAAATTCATAACT